GGGGGGGGAAATCAAGTGTGAATTAAGTATTTCCCAATATTTTATGAACTTTTACCGCATATTTTTCCAGTTTTGATGCATTTTAACAGCGAACAATAATGAGTCATGGTATATATATAAACATTTCAAAACTTTACTACCATTTTGAGGTGAATTACTTTTTCTAGTCAAAAATGATTTTCTGATGTTCTGATTTCTTTGGATGGTAACATTTTCATGTGTTAATTTCTTAATACCAATGAAAATTTAGAAACTTATTTGTGACCACCCCCCCCCCCTCCAAGAAATATTTCATCACAGAGCCCACAGCTATAGGAATCTGGTGTTTACATCTGTGGCAGGTTTTGATTGTACATAGGATTAAGGTCGCCTACTAGCTTCGAGCTAGAGGGAATTTCCCTTTAGCTTAGTGGTAGAGCTTCCAACTAGGAACCTGGGGTTTGCGGGTCGATCCCTGGTGGAAGCACACTATTATCTTTCAGTTGCACATGTAAATATCAACAATTTCCTCTGATGTGTTCATCGCCGTATTATGATGACTTAGTAATTTCAACAATTGTATTACACTAAAGACTTGATGTCATTGCTTTAAAAGATGTTTGGTTCAACATTTGTGCAATGTGGACAAAAGGAAATATTGACTTTTAAAATAGGATATAAATGAGCTGTAGACACGGGACAGCATACCTTGGAACTATCTCCAATTGAGCCATCTGATGTTGTTTTCTGATAGATTTACATCAAGGTCAAGGTCTTAAGTTGAGGTCAAAATTGAAAGCAGTATCCTAGCTTGTTTGAAGTAATTATAACTTTTTCAGATACAAAAGGCATTTTATTGAAACTTTGAAGAGATATAAATCAACCACTATTTTTGGGGGCTATTTTCATGACATCTCGAGGTCAAGCAAACGTAAAAAATTTTAGAAACAGCACGCTTTCTATGTTATGATTTGTTCACTTTCAAGCACTCAACCAGAACAGTTAGTAACTTAGTAGAGATACTGTAAGATTGTTTGGCCTCAGTCCTGAGTTTCGGTATTGGAAGTTGGTTGCAGCAGATGGAAAGTAAAAATGTTTTACGACCCCATGCTGCTCTGTTTAATAGGCCATGTGGTACCAACCTAATGTAGGCCTATTCCTACAGTAAACATACTAAATAGAAACAGGTTAGGATATGTTTTCATATACATACATTACTGCAATGTCATTTATACTGTTATTACCGTAATTATACTGCAATAAGCCCAGGGGCCAGCATACAATCTCTCCAGTCGCCTCTATTTTTCTCCCATCTTTGATTGAATTGTCTCCCGTTTTACCTGTTCAAAATTTCTGTAATCACCTTGGGTATGATTTCTCTGTGACCCCTAAGATATGACAGATTGTATTAAGAAAGAAACCAATACTATGACATTATGATAACAATATTACCAGGTATATGATGTCATAATCTGTAATAGGACGAGAAATAGTGATAAAGATAGTGCCGTCGCTGGGGCTTAAACCAGCGACCCTTGGCTCTCCAGCCCAATGCTCTACGGCTGAGCTAAAGGGAAATTCCCTACAGCTGACACTTGTAAGGCAACCTAATTAATCCACATCTTTTACACTATTCCCCCCTTTTTTCAAACACCAACCCAGGTTCTTTGACTCCTCGCCAAGGGTTCTCCTACTTTGAACGGGGAGGGTCAATGGCACCAATTTGTAATAGGACGAGAAATAGTGATAAAGATAGTGCCGTCGCTAGGGCTCGAACCCGCGACCCTTGGCTCTCCAGCCCGATGCTCTTCCGCTTAGCTTAAGGGAATTTCCCTACACCTGACGCTTGTAAGGCAACCTAATTAATCCACATCTTTTACATAATCACCTGTTGAAGGGGAGTGCAGAAAAACTTCATTTAAGCTCATTTTACTTTTTTTTAAATTTGAAAATTAACTACCAGGTATGTCTAGTTTGAGTACCATGATAAAAAGCAGTCACTGGTTTTTTGACCCTATTTAACAAATTGCTGAGTCGTCACTTAGTCTTCAGTAAAAATAGTGTAAGCTGGCAGTATAAACTGGAATGTGTTTTTATGATCATTTTGTAAACAAGGTTCTACAATGTGACCTTGTGTTTTCATGAAAAGCAATACGGTGACAAGCCCCTGCATGGTCTGATTATCAACGATAAAAGAGATCAGACCACTTTTGAATTGTCAACATACTTTTTATACCAAGACAAATAATAAGAATAACATGAACATCTTGTGTGAATATATTGTTTATGCTTTTTAAATTGCCTTATATTGGAATGTCATTAGCCATAAATTTCTGTATCACTGAGTGTGGGTGTTTTCTTAACCTTTATAAGCTTGTATATACATGGGGTACAAACAATTGACCTATTATGATTGCCTTTATACTCCATCATCCAGCTTGCCTCAATTTTGATTAACATTAGGGGTATCACTAGCCTGTGGAGGGAACAGAATCTTTTACTCAACAAGGGATGGACCCCTAGGGGGAAGGCTGAGGTGTGGGGCCATAAGTGGGGGATTTTCACCATCATCTATTACACCATAGATGATGAAGATGTAGTTTGAACTCAAAAAGGGCTGACCATCCACAAGGGGCTGGAGGATGGGGTCATAAGGAGTGAAACCTTAAAAATCTCTTAAACAAAGCAGTGGATTTTCACTATCATTTAATGAAAAGGTCCTTAGATTGAATCTATACTCAAGCAGCTAAAGGGCTCACCCTCCAGGGGCTGAGGGACATGGCAATAAGTTTTCAGGTAGCGTTGACGTCGATGTAAGCTGATCCAGCTTCTTCTTAATAAGAGGTCACAAGAGTGCAAAATATTTAAATATTATCACTTCAGAAACCTTCTGATAGATTTTCACAAACATTCAATAAAATGAAGCCAAACTGTATTTAATTGAGTATCACCTCAGAAACTTTCAGATAAAGGGCCTGTTTCCAGTAATGTTAATTCTCCATAGGAGCCTGCCCCCGTATAATTTCTTATCTAGCTCAACTACTGTTTTTTTCTTTTCCGAAGAATAATTTTACACCTTTCCGACACCCAGATTTCATAATTTCAGTGAAAATGTATTTTTATAAAGTTGTCAATTTCAGCATCAAAGACATAAGTTCGTAAATAAAAGAAGGTTATCTCGAAATTGTAATTCGCAACATAGTATAAATTTCTTTTGATAAATATTTCCAAAACATCGTGTTTATTCATAAAACATAAAAAAAAAAATTCTCGGATGAAAATGCACTTGCAGAGACACAATTATGAAGAAAAATGCCATAAAATTGCAATTTTCTCCCGTTATATAGTTTTGGATGCAAATTTCCATCAGAAAATCGGATAGAGCTTTACTTGTTTCATATGTGTACCAAAAATCAGCTAATTCCATGTGGTGGAACGTTCTCATATCGCCGCCTGAATGTGGTTGTAAATTGAAAGAAAAGGGGAAATGAGTAACAACCTTGTCTGAAACCCTATTATATAGCTTATTATATACAAACTTTTATATTGAATATCAGAGCGGATATTTTCATGACAGTTTTATGATGTGTAACGACTAAATAAACAGTATCGATATAAAGATTTACACTGAGGACACCCTGATACATGAATACTGTTCTATCTCAAGTTGTCCTCTTCTGAATTTTCTGATCGTGTGGCCTTGTACATTTATCCGTATCTTCTTGTCTTTGTCTATACGTTTACGGAATCATTGACTCGACGCTAGCTATTCTTGTCTCACTTTCCTTGTTTTATTGTCCCATCTCCAAAGCGTTGTGGCTCTGTCAGGGTTGGGACCCTGACTTGTCTCACTTTCTTTGTGCCTGCCGACCACGCCACATCGAATAGATAGATTATCCATATGAAATACTTTATTTTGTTCTAAGTAATCAATCAATTCTGCGCTTCTTGGAGGTATTGAATGTGATTTATTATATTGTCTTGTTATTTTGTGTAATTAGTTGTTCGTTATTTATCACACATTTTCGCATAATTGTACCAAACTACTAAGTATTAGCTGTTTACAGCAATCATCGGTGGCTTGCTATTTTGTTACTTTATCGACGCTTCATAAACCAATCGTTATTGTTTCAAGATGGAGGGTAAATGTGTTGGAGAAGGGTGTCAAGTATACTTCAAGAAACGTAGTGGCAATAAGAACAGAAGTGCACGCAATGTAAATAGTCCACAATATAAATGGCTCCTAGATACGCTGGTGCAACAAGGATTGATGTCAGCAAAGGAACAAGCACTTATTTGCCAGAAGTGCTACATGAAGTATCTTCGGAACAAAAATCAGCCTGAACCTGAACCCGAGCAGAACCAGGAAATAGAGGAAGAAGACGACT